TTATTGTTAAGAATTAGTAAAAATTGTTATTAATTCTAATTCTAAAGAAATTCATACTGTATGCAAATATATTGCAGTTTTCTCCTGTAAACAACAACAACAAAAACAACAAAAAAAAATGGAGCTATTCCAATGATGGTTAACTTTGTCACAGTTTCAAACAAGTGTACATGAACCAGCTTCAACACTTCATTTCTAAATACTCAAAGAAATAAAAATAAATGCCAACATTATGAGGACGAAATGTGAAGCTTTATAAAAAAGCACAATCTTACAGTTTACTAGGATGATTTGCCCAAAGTTTATCCCTTATTAGAGTAAAAAACCCACATTTTGTTCAGGTACTGAGATGGAAGAAAAGAGACATTCTTAAATTTTCTCAGTGTGAACCTGTGAAATTATCTATTTATAGAAAACATATCCCAGAGAAACAATAAGCTGAGTTCATTAAACTTCATAATATCAAGTGCTATACTAATTTAAAATTGTTTAAATTGAAAAATTTTCATTTACAATCAATAACTTCAGTTGAAAAAGATGTAGCTTTCAATAATTATGTTCCAAATAAAAATCATATAAATTCTATTAATTCTAAAATTATTATAAATTCTGTCCCAAGTTTCCCTATTTACTTTTTTAAAAATCCTGAGCCCCTTGTAAAACACATAATGGACCTGTGTTGAGCAATTGAGATAAAATGAAGAAAGGAAGTATTTTTCTGTTACACCTGTCATATTAAGAAATAACTTTTATACCCAAATAGTTTTTTTTTGTTTTTTTTTTGCACCAATTGTTTGATCAAAATATTTTTAAGTTCAGATAATAATGTGGCAATACTTAAATAGACTGGCCCACTCATAAAAAAAATAGGGAAACTTATTTTTAGATAATTTTTGTATCTTAGCATCCATTAGATCACAACAGTTGGCAGAAATGAAAAATATTGATTAGTTATCAATTTATAAGGGCGTGGTTTCTTTTTCATAATAGTGATATAATGTAAAAAAAATTGAAGAGTTATCAGAACTGTTCAAAATTGTGCAGTCATCATTGATATCCATGTACAGTTTTTTTTAAACAAAGATTTGTGTGTATATATATATATATATATATATATATATATATATATATATATATATATATATATATATATATATTAGTGGTCAATATATGTATATATATTTCTAAGAGGATATAATCCAGGTAGAGCTCAATGTCATAGACAGAACAAGAATATAATATAAAAGGCTCAAACACATATTTCATGGTTATATTTATTTCACTGGAATCATAATAATGGCTCAATTCATCAGACCTACAAATTCAAAAAGAAAACAGAAAATATATCTCCAGGTTTAAAAACCAACATTTCTGTGACAGTGTATATGTGGGAGTGAGAGGGAAATGTATGATCTAGAGAGAGGTGTAAAGAAAGATGAAGAACAGGAAAGAAGCTAATTTGAGGGTGAGGTATAAAATTTTAAAGAGAGAAGTTAAATAACGGTTTTAAGGAGTGAGATTCAGATAAATACGAGTTATTGTCAGTTGCATAAATTGACTTCCAATTTGTTGACTTAAATTAAAAAACCAGATAAAGGAAAAGTATGAATACATTTATGGTGAAATTAGATACAAAGAAGGAGGGAAAAGAAAAATCATTAGATGACCCAAATTTAATATCTAGCTAATCTACAATTCCGATGTATACATGAAAATTTGCCGCCAGGGTCTCATTTACTAAACTTATATATACATGAGAGAGGAGGAGAGAGAGACAAGAAAAAAAGGTTGGAAGGAAAAGAAAGAAAGGTCAAAAGAAAACAGGGGCATTTAAAAGAGAAATAATGTGTAATCAAGAACATTTTGAAGAAGCATGTAATTTTCCCTTACAGATTACAAGTTTAACAAACATAAAAATATTTAATCCAGTAAAAACACTTTATTTCCACATACACCCATACACACACAGATGCATACATGCACACATTCATATATGCAAATATACATATATACACATAAAATAAAAGGGTAAGATTTATCTAATATGTACTTAAAAATCAAATTAGAAACAAGGAAGATAACAGTAACAATAATAGTAATAAAAAAAAAATAATGGAATCGCAATAATGATAAAAATAAATAATAATAAAATAAACAATAGTAATAATATCAGTAGTAAAAAATTAAAAAAATCAGATGATAAAAACATGAAAAAATTAAAGATTCAAATTAAAATAGAAAATATATTAGTAGCCAAACTAAAAGGAAATAAAATAAGAGACATGGAGAGATTAGCAAGTGTACGTCTATTAAGTCTACTAATTAATCTAAATTCATCTAAACCTCCCTATATAAAATATCTAGAAAACTATCCGATATTATATATCTGTTATCCAGATATCAATGATGAATATTTCAAATGTGACATTGAAGAGTTATCAGAAATAATTTACCAAAGCCAGGGATCAATTTTTACACTGTATTGTTATTATGAACAGGATACCCCTTCTAAGTTGATAACTAATCAATATTTTTCAATTCTGACAATTATCATTGCCTAAGGAATGCTAATCAACAAAAATTATTTCTAAGAGGATTAGTCTACTGAAGTAGTGATGATAATGTTTTATGCATATCAAAGAAATCTAACACAAAGACATTAAAAATTAAGAATACTTTTTTGACAAACTGATGTAGAATGTAAGAAAAAACAAAAAATAAAAAGGTTTTTCCATTGGTTCATGGAATCTTTGCACACCAATTAAACTGACTGATATACCATTGACTTGTGCCAACTGAATATAATAATTCAATAAAGATGTTAAAAATCAAATCAAATCAAAAGACAATGAGTAAATTAGGAGAATCTTTAAGGGAAGGGGTGATAATTACAGTCCAAACATTTTGGTAAAGTAATAATCTTAGTTTTTGGCTCCTCTTGATCAATATGAAAAGGAAATGAAAAATGGTTAACAAAACATTTTAGATGAATCATCTATTTTGATAAAATAAATTAAAAATAAATAAATCATGAATAAATAAATAAATTTGAAATGCTTAGGGGGTTAATGCAGTGTAAGTAAAAACTCAAAAATGAATAAACTGATCTGGAGGGGTTTTAAATACCTGCTCCAGTATCGCTGCTTCTTCTGCCTTGACTTCCTTGAATGTCGTTTTCTTGACTTACTTGATCTAAATGCAAATGTCATCAATATCTCTAGTGGAAAGCACATTTACAGACATTCAAGTCAATTAAAAAAAGCACACACACTTAACACAAATACAAATTGAATAAAGTAAAAGACCTTATTAAAAGAATCAATAGAGGAAAAAATACTGTTCAGTACAAAAATCAATGTCTTCTAATGGGACAACTGATACATAACATCGGGTAGAGTTTTAAAGAGAAAAATTTTAGCAATTGCTTTACAAATCTACATAAGCCCATAAAATTTGTAAAACAACACTAATATTAATTTGGGAAATGTTGTTTGCAGATAAAAATACACAGTTAAATAAAAAAAAAAAATTTTGTCTTATAAATGACCAGGAAGAAATATTAGTTATTAATTAAAACTAACTAAATAAAAAGTTACAGTTCTGCATTGGATTATGGTATATTTAATGTACGAGATTGTATAAATATATAAAAATTATCATTAAAAATATAAAATTTTGGTTGAATTTATTAAGAAATTTACAGACAAAATCACATTTTAATTTAAAATATACTCAGTTCAGTTGTAAACAGTCTTCAGAGTAATTTGGAAAAAAATTTATAAAATACTCAAAGAAATATTTAATAAAATTGTTCAGAATCTACAAAAAAAAAAAAAAAAAAAAAAAATCATCATTCATAATTTGCAAATATCAGATAAAAGTTTGTATTATTTAAGATTTGTAATCTTGCAACAAAACCAAAACTGGTTTAGAATCTTCAGGCCAGTGCATATTAGCAATGGTGGAACCAATTCTAAAGAACTGAATTTGCACAACCACAATTGCTATTTTTTTTAAATAAAATTATTTTTGTCTATATTTCTGAAATGAGGTATTATGTACACTATTTATATTATTCAGACTTTTGTCCTCATCTTTGTTGCCATATTTTAACACAACATTTCGGCCATTGTATGCACCAGCCTTCTTCAGGTGGTTGGAATGTTAAACTGAACCCTTTATTTCACTCACTAGAGTAGACTGTTCTAGTTCCACTTGCTATGTCTAATCTTTATCCACTGTGCTAAAGGTGTTAGATCCAGTGACAGGACCCAAAAGGTGTGAGTTCAATACCTGGTTATGGTGGTAGAGAACTTGGAGAGGGGAATTAACAGAAGATAACTGACATCCATTAGACATGGCATGTGGAACTAGAACAGTCTATCTCAGTGAGCAAAGTAAAGGGTTCAGTTTGACATTCCAACACCTGAAGAAGGCCAGAGCATACAATGGCCAAAACGTTGTAATAAATGTGGCAACAAAGATGAAGACAATAGTCCGAATAATGTAAAAATTATTTTTGTATAGTTTGCGTGTTTTATATAAATACAATGGGTTTGATAGCAAGTGTTGCTTGTCTAAATATACATGTGAATGCAAATTCATCTGCTTGAAACTATTATCAATAGTAAAATCTGTTTTAAAAAAAAATTTTTAAAAAAAAAACAAAACAAAAGATTACATTTATTTGAATATGTGCTAGCCACAATCAGTAAATTTAGCACAAGTTCTTATAACAAAAATATAAATTAATGTTTATGTGTAATTGAAATTCAGAGTAAAATAAAAAAAATAAAATAAAAATACTTGCAAATTAATAGTTGTCATTGGCTTTGATTATAAAAAATTGTAGGCTGAGAAATTTTTTCTAAGCCAGGCACAAAAAGCCAAGAGAGATAACAGAAACCGAATTGTATTCTTAAAGGTCAAAGTGAAAATACATGCAAGAATAAAGTGAACATCAGTGGAAGAGAAAAGATCCAAAATGAAAATGTACTCACCGTGACGAGAAAGATGATGAACGGCTGTAAGACGATCGACTTGTGTAGGAGGTGAAGGAGGAGGATCTGGATCGAGATGAATCAGAATATGAACTATAAAAAGTGAACAGAAAGTTTCTGTTAATACCCCGTATTGCCAATAACTTTACAAAAAATCCCTCTATTCTTAGCTCATTTTGACAATAATGATCACATGACCGCATACACCTGGAAGGAACACTATCAATCTGGTGACAAGTTTTTATTGCACATGTTGATAGCAGCTCTTTGTATGCTTACTTACAAAGTACTGATTTAATGGGTACATTGCATTCCAACCACGAGACCCAGGTTGAATCTCATCCAGGTTCATCTGTCAAGGAGGTGACTTCTTGATAATATTAGGTTAGCACTGTTGGGAAGGACATGGAAATTATGCAATGGGTTGATTCAAGCCTTATTAGTGAAATTGGGTAGACAAAACTGTTTGGAATCTGTTGATGGTAGTGTTAACATAAAGCTACAAGTCATCATGACTGAGGGTTCAAGCATACTAGGCTTGTCCAACTACAGATCACACCAGATTATGTACAGTCTTCCAGAAACTGTAACTATGGTCTGCTCAGCACAGTTGTAATATAAACCACAGGTTGGCTTTGTGGGTGTTGAACAAACAGAAATGTACCTGAGCAGGCATCTGCCAGCCACCCTATGAGAGGGGTGAATTCTGAAATAAGCAGCTATCATCATCATTATTACTATGAGTATTGATTTAATGCTTTAAAATACTAATTATTATTCTAAGAGAAAATAATTATATGAGGGAGTGTTGAAAAGGCCTTGGCCTGAGAGACACTTCTCAAATGACCAAACATCAAGATTTTTGGGGAATGTTTTCCTCAAGGCAAGAACTTTTCAGCATCCCATTCTATATCCCACCCTTAGAAATGTAGCATATGATTTTATAATAGAAATTCTTTTTAATTGTAATTTATAAATTTGCCTACTCAATCAGTATTTATCACCAAGTAGGACTCTTAACCACTAAGAATATAATAATTTCTGTCTAAATTTCTAGTGTTTCAACTAATGTAACATCTTTATACTTATCCCAATGTTTTGCACTTTGTACCCTCCAGCCTTCTTCAGGTTCCTGTCGATATGGGTAACCTTTAAGGAATTTCAAACTGAACCAGTTATTTAATCTACGGAAATAGAATGAACACACAATGTCACCAAATCCACAAACCAAGGATTTTGATGTAAGTGTAACAGACTGCATTTTTCCAAATTCCCCCCACTTGAATGTTCTGTTTCTGCCTGCAGAAGCTAATATGCTTGCAGAATAGTTGTTATTCTGAAGATACGTTTGATGCTGATTATCTCCTGTTGGTACATGATTCAAGGACTTACTATCAAGGACCTGATTCAAAAGATCAACAGTCCATACAATATCAGTACAATATTCAGAAGCAGCTTGAAGAAATCTCTGCCATAACAACCTTAACAGAAGAGAACATAACTAAGAACTGTGGGTATTCTATACCTTGCAACTGTGGTAAAGAATACAAGGGTGAAAAATAGGGCTGGTGGAACCTTGAAAAGCTGTAATTTGAAGTAAGACAATGAAATCAAGCATGGCTGACCATATATGGAGAGAAAATGGTGGTCACCAGCCCCTGTGGAATAAAGTAAAAATACTAAACATAGATGTCTAAAGGAATCAGTGCATATATTAGGCTATGAGGTTCTTCTAAGTAGGCCTAGCACAGAAATAAATATTATATGGGAGATATTAATATAGAAAAATGACAGCAAAGTTGCAGCAACAGTAAAAAAAAAAAAAGCCATGGTGAATGCAGTCAAGCATAGCAGCAGCAGGAAAAATAGAGGAACATTAGTTTTAAGGCTCCAAGTATGAAGTTCAGAATTGTCCTAGTGGATTAAAGCATTGGCTTGTGAATTTGCTGATATAGTACAGTAACTGAGAGTTCAATCCCTGATTTAGCAATACGTGAAGAACAAGATGAATTATCCCTAGACATAGATAGTGAAATGGGAACAAGCTACATCTTGTACATTAAATAAAGGGTTCAGTTTGAAATTTCCTGAAGGTTTCCCATATTGGCAGACACGTGAATAAGATTAAAGGACACAACAACCGAAACATTGTGATAACAATAAAGATAAGGAATATAAATAAAGTAAATTATAATAATAAAATAATATTTAAAATATTCCTTGTTGCAAGAGTAGTTGATCAAATTTTGATCATGATTTGGATCTTCAAAATTATTGGCCAATTTTATCAAATTTACTTGCCATATCATATTGCATAATCATCAACAATTGTTTCAATAGCAGTTTATCTTAATTTTATCACTGAACCAATTACACATTAAAAAGGGAGAAGGAAGAAGAATTAATACAGAAGATTTTAATGAGGTACCCAAAAATGAAGAAAAAAAAAAAAGAGACAACAACTACCTTGAAGAATAGGAAGAAACACTGTATGATCGCCGAGTTCGTCGCCTGCCACGAGACCAACTCCGGGGTGGTGAGCTACGACGTTTACTCTTGGGAGATTTTGACCTGGAAGAAAATGTTTTAAATTTATGTTGGATGGGAAAATAAAATTCAACAACTTTGAACATGAGATTATACTATCAACAAAAAAAAAAAAAAAAAAAAAATATTCAGCTTATTGAATTAAATTTTGAAAACAGTTTAGAATCTTGTGCAGTCAATTAAAAAAACTCCTTAAAACTGTCTTCAAAGAGAAATTAAATTTCTCTATAGTTTCATTGCTTGGCTATATTGTATACATTAACTATACAAAGTAATTTTCTTTTATTCATTGAAATTAATACTGTAAGAATATTTTAAATTTTAATTTCCTGGGGGTGTAGAGATAGGAATATAACTAACTTTTTTTTCAATAAAAAATAAATCAGTAGAAAAATTAAGCTTAATTACTTGAACTGTAAACAGATTAATAAGGAATAAAAAAAATTTCTTATACACAGCACAAAAATTCTGCTTGGTAAAGCTGAATAATTCTTATTAAAAACATTTCATGAAATGTTATTTGACATTTTAGGATAAAAAAAAAAAAAAAAAAAAAGTACTTTTAAAGCTACAGACAGAAGAAAAATAATCCTGTAAATTTTGAATAAAAAATAATTTCAATTTACCGTCGCCAAGGATCTCTCCATTCATCTGCTCTGGGTCTTTGTGGGTTGACATCTTCTGAATTCCTCTCATCACCTCTTCGATCATCTCTCCAGCGGCCACTAGTCTCCACTCTGCTATCTACTCTGCCTCCAGGTCCATCACGCATCTCTCTCATTTCTCTTGGGTCTCCCCGAGGATCACGCGGGTCACGGTTTTCTCGCATATCTCGAACATCGCGAACATCACGGACATCTCTCATCTCCCGCATGTCTCTCACGTCACGCATATCACGAACATCGCGCATGTCTCTCACGTCACGCATGTCTCTCATGTCTCTGGCATCTCGCACTTCCCTAGTGTCACGAACATCCCGCATTTCCCGTACATCACGCCGATCATCTCGCCTCTTGTTTTCATATCTTAAAAAAAAAATAAAATTTAAGTTAGAAAAATAATTATTTCATTAATCTTAGCAACATATATAGGAACAAAGTTAAATTAACCTATTTATTTAAAAACTTGGCTCATGTCATACCTTAAATAAAGAGATAAGAATTTTTTTCCAGATTTTTTGTGAGGAGATATTCTAAATTTCCTAGAAACAATAAGGAAAAAAGATATTAAGATTTTGGCATTATTCACTGCTTTGTCTGCAAGAACAAAGTTCAGGGCCATCATTTCAAGGTCATGGATTGGTAACTCATTTCAACTAATAATATTTACTTACTGAATTGATTTATTCCTTTTCTATGGCTTCTCAACCCTTTGCAGGTCATTTAAAGCCAGGAAATATTTTTAGATTGTAAGAATTTTTGTGGGAAGATAAGGATTCTGATACAAGCCTTACACATTAAACCATAGCAGTGAGAAGAAGATGTGGATTCATACCTTTCCCAAGGGTATTTGCACTAATATAACAAACCCAAAAAGAATTGGAACTTGGTTCTCCAATTAACAATTCCAAGCCATTATCCATTGCACCACCCACACATCCAAGCTTACAGCACCTGGTATTCCCAAGCAGTTACCAATCTAGATATATCATGTGGTGTGATCAACATTTTGAACAACACCAATACGCTTAAACCCTCAGTTACAATGGCTTATCACTTTGTGTTAACACAACCATAGATGGAACTGTTCCATTGACCCAATTTCTTTAACAAGCTTTGGGTCATCCCATGATATGGTTTTCAAGCACTTTCCAAAGGTGTTGCACACTGGGTTCATCTCCCAAAGATGAAATTATCAAGAAGTCATATTCCTGACAAATCAAGCATGAAACCCAGGCCTCATAGTGAGAAAATGAATGATCTAACGTCATGCCCATAATATATATGTATATGTTCGTGAGTCTACATTTTGTGAATGAAGTGTTATTATTATTTACATGCAAACTGTTCCATTTTTTTGTTATCACAATGGTTCGTCTAGTGGATTAAAGCATTGGTTCATGAATTTGGTGACATAATAATTGTAAGTTCAATCCCTGGGCCAGGCAGCATGTACTTGGATTTAATGGAAAATGGAGAAAGCAATAACTAAGCAATGCTGAATAAGAAGATATCCGTAGACATGGACAGTGAAACAAGATCTACCCACATAGATTAAATAAAGGATTAAGTACAAAATTCCCAGAAGGCTACCTGGATTGACAATCACCTGATGAAGGCCGGAGAGCACAACAGACAAAAAATTGTGACAACAGTTCATGTGTGCATAAGAGAGAGAAAGTGAACATACAACCAGAACCCTCATACAACTTGACAAATTAATCCACACTGTGTTTTGATTCTTGCTTGTATTAGTGTGCACAAAAACTGGGAAAGACCAGTGTACATTCAATGGAAAAATAGGTGAAAATCTAGTCACAGCTAGAAAACCTATTTATAATATATTTGGTTATTTATTCATGCATTCACTTGGTAGTTTTGAGGAGGTATGTAGGTGACACTAGGGACATTTTTGCCACTACTTCTGTTTTCTCTCACAACAGACCAGATCTTTTTTGGCCAACAAGGATTCCATTGGTCTCCAACTTTACCTCTCTCCTGCTCTAATCATCTTGCAACAATTGACCATTCTAACTGTGAATCTGTTTATATAAGCCCATGACTTATCTTCCAGCTAAGTGGCATTTAATCACGGAAGTTTTCATTTAATTATTTAGCCAATATATTTCCTTTTTATTACTTCTTGACAGTAGGTGGTTACTTTGAAGATCATATATTTAGGCTTTGCTGCTGGTCATAAAACCTCAGACTCTGATAAAATCAGTCTACTATGTGTGTGTGCCCTGTCTACAGCCAGGTATCATTGTGGCATGCATGTGTGTGAAAGTGTGGACAAAGGAATCAACACTGTATAGATCACTACAGTGGCTATAACATTGTACCTTACATAAGTTTCAAATAAATTTGGAGATGGTCTCAAATTGTTGGTACTGCAGATTTAAAATAAATATATGAGTAAATAAATTACTGTTCCCAGTTTTCTTTTGAAATAAAATATCCAAATACCAAATTATCTTTAATTTCTTTTTCCTCTTTGTAAATGTGTTAATAAAATAAGCACATCTCATCTCTCACTTGTAACCATCCACTATAATAAACATTTTCAATGCTAAAGCTGAATTAATCAAATAAAGCTTCATAAGCTTCTACTGAGAGTTGTTGCTATATTACAGTAAACAACTGTTTAAAACAAATCAAAAATTTACATGTCAATTACATGCAACAAGTGATCAATACAGTAAGTAAACAAGTTCATTTTTGCTGTCAACATGGGTTTTCAGCTTGCAAACATTAGAAGCTATATTGACAAAATATATGGAAAAGGAAAAAAGAAAAGAAAAAAAAAAGAAAAGAAAAAAAAGCAATTTACAGAAGATATCCAAGGTATCTAGTAAGACATGTAAATGTTATTGCTTACCGGTCCATTCTATCGATTCTTTCCATTCGATCCATTCTATCCATCCGATCCATTCTATCGGATCTGTCCATTCGGTCCATTCTCTCAATAGGAGAGCCATATGGTTGTCGTTGAACCTCTCGTTGGGGCAGCAGAGCAGGATGGCGTTCTCGTTCACGTTCTCGGTCCTGAAATTTATGCAGGATAAAAATTGTAAAGCTGGGTATTAATCATAAGAATGCAAATAAGAATCTATCTATAGAATAAAAACATTCACAATTAAAATTAATAGCATTACTATAAATAATCATTTTCCAGTGCCTTAAATTTTGAAGGTTATTTTAATTAGCAAGTACCATTTGGCTAATTTTTAGCAGAAATGAATGTACAAAGTCCTAGTGTGACAATTTTCAACATGACTAAAACAGAAAAGAAGATAATGTTTGTCAGAATTATTGAGATGAAGATTTGTTATTATAATATGCTTTGCTATTCCTACCCACATTCCCACAGAGATTGAAACCAACACTTATAACTTTGAAGGTAGTAATTGAACTGTATTTCTGTTGGTGTATGTGTGAAAGTTATTGTGGCTTACCAATCGATATGAACTATTGACATGTTCAGGTTCACGAATCCAACGCACTTCAAAGTTTTCATACTGTCCTGTTTGCCATCCATGAACATGTGATTTGTAATAATCGTCTTCGTCCCTGAATAATAAAAAGAAAACTATGCTTATCTGAGAGTTTCAGGGAAACTTTCATCATTATTCAACCAATCATTTGGCTGAAACAGGTCAAAAAAGCAAAATTTTGTCAGTTTGAAGGATTCAATTATTTGAATTTAAAAATCTGGAAAGAATCTCTAAAAAAGCTAAACTTACTCAAGGTCATAATAAGGATCTTTCATGATTCTCTTTTGCTCATTTTCTTTATTTTGTTCTCGTTCTTCTTCTAAACCAAGATTCAATCTTTTCTCCTCAAAGTTCGTTTCTTGCTCTTTTCTTTGGTTGGCCTTTTTCATTAACTACAAGAAAAATAAATTCAACAAAACATCTTTTTTAAAATTTAAAATGACAGAATAAGTTTCCAAATATAAAATGAAATATGCTTACATTTTATTAAATGATTGCTTTCTTAATAATTATTACAAAAAGGACTATTTTCCTTCAAATAGTATAACAATCTCATACAATATTAAATGCAAAAACATAACTAAAGAAAATTAATAAGAACAAGTTATTTGAAAAGGTAAAAATAAATTCATTCTAACAAGTAGTTCAAATGTTGCTAAATAAGAGCCAATTTAAGCAGAAATATAAAGCTGTGTATTCGAGAACAGAAAAAAAATTTTGAAACTAGACATCATATTTAATATACATATTTTCCTTTGTAAAATACAATGAAAAGAATATAAAAATTAGTATTCTTAAGGAAATTAATAGTTTTTACAATCTGCTGCACTATAGGGTATCTATGTGCTACCTGGTGGAAAAAGGTTAAGAATAGAAAGATTACACTATGTATTTATAATAATAAAAAATGTGCTTAATATAAGAGTTTTTTCTTTTTTAAAATTTTTTATATTCATGTATGTCGGCTCAGGAAAAGAGTATTTCTTTTAGGAAATGAAATATTTGAAGAAATTTTGCATGCAGATTTATTTTTTGATAAGATTTGATAGTGGCACTCTCAAAATTTTTTCATCTAAGTAAGTTACTCTTAACGACAGTGTTAATTTTTAGACTGAAGTTGTAGTTGAACTTATGCCTATGTATGACTAATGCATTTGGTAAATTATAAGATCCTTTTTGTATTCATATATAATTTTTTTAAATATTTCTGAGAGTTTCCCTAATATATTGTCAGGAACAGTTGTGACAGTTTATGTTATATATACCTGCTTCAGAATTATTACTGTTATACAGGGTGCAAAGGATAAATTGTCATCTAAATCATGCAAAAATGAAAATAACACTGACATCTAACATTTTAACAGATATATTTACTAAAATTACACAAAAATATCTTGAAATACTAAAGAGTAAATTCATTCAATAACCACGTCCCCCCAGACAACTTCAGAATCTGCTGCAACTCTTCTGGATGGTCTCCTTGTCTAAGTTGGTAAATGCTGCCATAATCCTTGCCATCAGTTCATCTTTGGTGTTACAAAGAGTTTTGTTGGTCTCTCACTCAACTGCACCCCACATATAATAATGAAGGGGGTTGCAGTCTGAGGAGTTAGGTGGCCAGATGTAAGGAGTGATATTGTCACAGAAATTGTCTGACAGCTTTTACTGGGTTCTCCTGCTTTTGTGGCATGATGCAAAGTCCTGTCGCCAGAGAGAGTCTTCAAACAGTCACCCTTTTGACCCAGGGCAGCATTACCTTGTCAAGTCACTTGATGTCGGCCTCTGTGCTGAGTCTGACGCCCTGTGAGAAGATGAATGGAGGCATAACATTGCCATCACTAGTGATCATTCCAAACACCATGAAGTTCTGGATATTTGGTTTTCATCACTCTCGGTACATCTTTTGGGGACACAGCAAGCCAGCAGTTGTTCTATGTGTTCACCATCTTATCCTGGCAGAAATTTTTCTCGAGTGAGAAAAACCAAAGCATGTTCAGTTAGAAGGGATGACCGAGTTTGTTCAAAAGCCTTGTAGCACTGTCTTTCCTCTTGTCCTTTGTGGCTTAGAATTAAAATTGGCACTTTCTCATCTTGTATGAGAAATACTGAAATGTCTTCATGCACTACCTGCCTAGTAAGAAATGCAGACACTCCTTTGCCTTTGGCTATGGACCTGACTGACTTGCAGGGATTGTTGTCAGTCAGCGTGAGTTTTCTGAGCTGGTGTACCTTCGTAATTAATGTTAGACTCATCCAGCTCTTTTGAATACTCTGCACTGTCCTTAGACTGACACCCAAACACCCTGAAATGTTTATATTGAACTGAAGAAGTCAAGAGGTGCAGAATACTCTGAGAATGGCAATCTATCAAGAAATCTCCAAGGCAACATCTTCACACTATAGTAAATATTTTAAAAGCATAAAAATTTTTACAATCGAATCTCAGGTGTATATATTATATATATATATATATATATATATATATATATATATATATATATTATAGAGTATAACTGGATCAGATAATTTCAATTGAATGTCAAAATCAAAAAGAGAGTGCAAAACTAAATGAAGTTATACTTTATTTGGTCATAACAAAAACACTGAATTAAATTATTTCCTTTATTATTGATATTTACTCAGTTGATCAAGTAAAAGTTGATATTATGTTAGGTATATTGTACTGCACCAATCTTCCAAGTGTAGAGGGTTTGGCTACCTTGAAAATCAGCATTCAACATCCTGGCACTAACCCTAAGTGCTGGTAGGAAATAAACATCAGAACCCACAAGGTATTATATATTTTTTAGAGAACTGTAGAAAATAAAAGGAGATTAGGATGCTGAAGATGACATTGAAAGTCTAGATATTCTTTAAGTCAGTGTATAATTACCTATATAACAAGTAAAATATAATAGTTACAGTCTAAAGAACAGCCTTAAATGCAGAGAGAGAGAGGAGAGAAAAAACAAAAAAAAACAAAACACCAACCTCTTTTGCATAACGTAAACCTCTTTCCCAGGCTGATTCTGCAGGGGGTTCTTCTCTGGGTGGGGGAACATCAGGTATTAGAGGAACCTGGGGGAAATAAATTACTTATAGATATTTTTGCAAATGTAAAACTATTCAATTAACAAAGATAATGGCTAATACGTATTAAAAACACTTTGGATCAGCTCAAATAATAATTGCAACAAAAATTATACATATATTTGTTTTTAACAAGTTCTCAAAAATAACCAAGAAGATATATTTTTTGGAAATTCAAGATATCTACAAAACTTCAAGGTCTTTATGAAACTTGGCATTGTAGCATTTGTTTTTAATGCAAGCCATTACAAATTGTTCCCAAGTGAATTTTCAAATGGAAAAATATTTTTCATTCATGGATAATTACAATCAATATATGAAGAGTTAAAGAAAATAAATAAAGCCCCATTTTCTTCATTTATAGAAATGGATTTATTTAAATAGGCAATGAATGCCCAATGACATAAGAGGTTTGCCAAAATGATGGCAAATCAAAAGAAAAAAAGGTTTCTAGTAAATAATTAATGTCCAAATTTCAATTAGTAATTAATTATTCATATATGAAAGTAAAGTGCAGTGATTACAATTCAACAATATGGGAAATAATGCTTGTATACCTTGGTGTATTCATGCAGTTGTTTCTTAACTTTAGGTTGAAACATCTTGAAAGAAAAGATTAAGAAATTTCAGAATACAACAAGGTGAGACCCAAGGAAACTAAATTTCAATGCATTTAGATTTTAGTTCCATTAAAGTCTATCATTCAAAATGCAACACAAAAATCAAGAGAAGCAAATGGTTTGCTACATAAAAAAATGTTTTGTGCTATTCTTTTTAAACAATTCTTACAAATAATATTTTACAATAGCAATTACATCTCTTTATAATTCATACTGTATATTTCCTCAAGTTAAATTGGACTGGTCCCCCACCCTTTTTTTTTTTTAAATTAGGAAAGCTGATTACTGCTAAAATGAAATACTAATCACACAAAACATTGTAGATAAAGTAGCATGAAGATAATATTTGAATTGGTTAACATTATTTGGAATGGAATTGAAGGTTGAAGATCAGAAATCACAAATAAAGTAATTATTTTTATTACAACAACAATCAAAAAGCATTTGGTTTGAACAATAAGAATCTTTAACCTATAATGAAACAATTTGTAAATAAGAAAAGCAATTTCACAATGTTCAAAAAATCAATCTGAATAATATTACAGTTTTATATTATCTGTTTTAAGTTTAAAAAATGAATAATAAATTGTAAATTTATCAGTAACTGATTAAAATATTAAACATTCATCCAGTTAGTTAACAATTATGTTGATTAGAATCATGTGATTAAATGATTAGTAAAGAGAGTTAACTAATAAATGCACATTGCAGAAATACCATTATGAATGAAAAGAGATGAAACTATTGACAATAGCTACAATTATTTAATATCAACTCCAAACAATATTTTAAAGCAGTTCAAAGTTTTCAAACATTTAAAATATGAAGTTTTAAGGTTTTTAAGTTTTGCTTGATTAAATGTTTTTAAATGTCACAATTTAAAACACTAGAATTATTTCATAAGAAATATTCAAAGAAAAATTTTCTTTTTTTTTTTTTTTTTTTAAAAAAAAAAAAAAAAAAAAAATGTTTGTTGGATAATTCTTTTCTATTTCTGAAAGTATTTTTAAAGAACCCAATTCTGTCATATAAATAGACAAGTTAGGACAAAATTTGAATAGTCAAGTTTTTAAACAATGCTGTAATGCAAGGATTTACTTTATATTTCAAGAAAATTAAACTGAGGAATGAAGAATGGATCAACAAAACAATTCTTCAATTTTTCTGCCAAGTTTCATAAAATAAACCTTTAGTTTTACATGAAAACACATTAGCTGAAATAAACACGACCCCCAAATTAATGTTCTCCTTAGAAAATGATTTTTATAAAGCTTTAGACAGTAAATTTCAAAGAAGCAAAGAAATTTCTGTTACTTCTAAATAATACTTAGGAACATGTATTTCAGAATGATATGTGTCCTTCGGCAGAGGTGAAAGCATGAAAAATGATGTGATTATAAAAGCAGTTTTATTATGTTTATATTTCATGGAAGTCATTTAATTAGAGATTAATTTCCTTGCTGTCTGTAAAAGTTAAATTTTTAGATCATTTAAAAGAGACTAATAAAACTTGTCCTATTTGATTATACAAAACCATATTTTATCAAAATATTTCGAGAAAATATGTAACTTCAAAATGGAAGAAAAAAGAAAAAAAGAAAAGAAAAGCAGAAAATATTTAAAAGGAAAGAAATTATAAACAAAATTACATACAATTGAATAAAAGTAAACATCAAAACAGAGTTGTGTTCTGAAATTAGCAATGATTATTCATGTGTGATAAAGTTAACTATTTTTTCATAGAATTCATAATTGCTGACTTGCTCTATACAAAAATATAGAATATCAGTTTAAAATAAAACTATTTTTAAGTGTAAATTTATATTTAATAAGCTTAAAAAAAACATCCATAATTTCAAATATTTTTAAGCCTTAAACTTTTATATTGAAAGAAAAATAAAAGTATAATAAAAAAAAAAAAAAAAAAAAATATATATATATATTTAAAAATTAAAACAGAAATACTTACATCTGACCCCCATGGAGTTGGTCCAAATGGAGGTCTTCGTCCCCTTAAATTGGCTGTCAAGCCAAAACCATTATTAAAGCCAGGACGCTCAATTAACCTGTAATTTCCTAAAAAAAAAAAAAAACAACACAAACACAAGTTACAGAAAGAATTTTCTGCAATATATATTGGAATTAATAGCCAGTGTCCATCATAATGAGATGATACTCACACAATTATTAAGATTAATATAACAGTTGAATAATGTAACCCATTTATGGGCTGGAGAGTCTTCCTTGTGGTTACTTGATTTCAAACTTTCTATAAATTAATGTTACACCAATAGACAAATATAATATATTACATCAAGATTTATGTTAGTTAATGAACAATAAAAATTATTGAAGAATGTACAACTTTTACCTCATTAATTCCAAATTACTTGAAATCATGTGCATTTAAAGCACATTTCTTTCTTAAAACAATTTTTCTTTAACAAAGTTCTTTCAGTGATTTACATTTAGTTATCAAAGTGCAGTGGAAAAAAAAAATCCGTCAAAAGTTGTAGTTAATGGAATTTAATTGGTTTATGACAGCAAGAACTATGTCAAGTGATAGATTTCAGTCACTGGGAGTGAAAAAAATAAATTAAATTAATAAGTGGTTTTAGAGGATTTTTTTTTTTTTTTTCAAAATTTAAACTGAAAAGTAGCACACGCAAGTTATATTTAAATTACTAAAAAAAAAAAAAAAGTTATTTATAAAATGTTTATATTGATTAATGTATTTTTACCTTTATCATTGACTCCTGGATGTAAAAATCTGCAAGATGCACCCCAGGTACAATGCCCTTTGGAAAAAAAACGGCAAAGAGGTTTCTGAAAAGGTTTTTTACTACCAGGTTCTCTGATTTCACCTTCTTCACAGTCATCATCCTGAAAGAAGATTGAATATAGATAAAATTGTGTGTATGCGTTGGAGAACTTACTTCGTAAACTGACATCATGGAATATGTAAGAGAAGAGTGCTAAAAAATTATTAACCCAATACACACTCTAAAATCTGACCAAACATCAATTAAAAAAAGTAAAAACTTAATTGGACTCAGAACTTTTCAGCACACCCTTGTATAAATTTCTCTGTTTATTTTGAGAGAAAGATAGAAGGGAAAAAAAAAACAACATAATCAGGACTGATTCATTTTTTTTTTTTTTAATCCTGTCAGATATGTTAAATGGGTGTGATATATTTACAGTAACCTATCCTAAAACAAAACAGCATAAAAGTAATAAATGGTTAATTTAATATCCATCTTTCAAAACCCCATAAAACTAACATGAAATTATTTCTATCTTCCTATTATAGACAGCATTGTAATTTATAAACCATACACAAATAAATATTTTACTTTGAACGATAAGTTAAATATTTGAATCTCCTAATTACATACACTGAAAATGAAAGATCCCATTTAAATCAAGTAAAATATATATACTTACATCCTCAACCTCCCCATCATCTCTGTCAGATAAGCCTTCATCCTAAAAACAATAGAGGGAGTATATCAAATTAATTATTTTAATGTGTTGTTGAACATCAAAATCTGTTGGTAATAGCAACAGATCACACATCTAAGATGTGGGAAAAAAACAACTAGATTTGACCAGTAAAATATCAAGATGGTTTTTCCTCATAGCAGAAATTATGTTACACAAACACCCATAGCACTATTCAGTTAAAGTAAAGAATGCAAACTCATTAAAAGTCAAGCTTTTGCAAGAGAAAACATAATTAATAATTATGTGTACAATATCCTTTGCAGTTATATAAGATTAAACTTAAGGAATATAGACCAACCATACTTTATAGTGAGGGTATGAAATAAGGTATGACAGATTACATATGCAAAGAAAATAGAATGATGACAAAGAACCACATGGGAAAGCATATACTGTAAAGACAAAATAGCAAAAGCAGACCCGTATGTAGATAAATATAATAAATCAAAAGACAATATTAAAAAGAACAATAATGAAAGGAACACAGTGTAAGTGGATTTGAAGGCCTATATATTTTTAAAAAGTGCTGTAGAACATACATGTTCTATATTCTACATCTTTACATTAAAATAATGTTTTTATTTGTAAATCTAAAAAAATTGAATGTATACCACACCACTGATGGATCAGAAACAGCTTACATGTTTTGGTTTTTTAAAAAGGAAGATGTGATCAAAATATATATTAATCCAATACTGTTTTAAAACAATAAAACTAGAATTATTAGTTGAATACTACATACACTTAAAACAAGTTGGAGAATAGACCAACAAAAACATATTCAAAACAGAAAAAGATGAAGATACTCATCCTCCTTGGAATAATTGCATCATTACAATTTTTTTTTAAAGTATAAAAAGCTTTAAGATTATATTCCTGCAATTAGCATGAGAAATGGTTGTAAACAAAAAAATCAGGTAAAGATCATAAACTCAATTTCATTGGACCAAACCAGTAGAAGCGAAATCAGTACTTTAAACACATCTCACTGCTTGCTACTTAAAGTTAAAATTAAATTTATCTAAAATTAAGAGATTTTTATACAATATCTTAGGGTTTACTTAAATGTTGATACAAATACAAAATCTGAGATCTAAAGGTGAAATCTATATGGAATATTTTATTTTATAAATGTTCAAGATCTATATAAATTCCTGGAAGGATTTTAGAAGTGAGATGGCAACAAAAGTAACAGCAAATACAAAACTGAATAAGTATTTTGAATAAATACAGTTTGAAGTAAATATAAAAAAATTTAGCATATTATATTTCTATGGACTTGGAGTATTGTTTTCTTTAGCTAAATTTTCTTTATAGATCAAGATTAATCTTTATCACCTTTTACATAATAAACATCTATATCCTTAAAAGAGGAAGATTACATTAACAATTACATTTCTATTTACAAACAAATGAAATGGCACTACTGAAATAAACAATGTTTTTAATAGCATATTGGTTTCAAATTAAGAGATACCTATAAAAGTTATAGTTATTACCTGGCTTCAAATATATCTATTGAAATACTTAGGTTTAAAACCATTCTGAGTCTTCCGAGATACTCTCACTTAGAGTTGATGGTATATATGAAGCAGAATATTGTGACATTAGTAACTTAATTTTTAAACTTCTTACTAAATCTAGATATTTTTCTCTGACAGTTTTACTGCTTTAAAACTTAACTGTTGTGATTATAATGAGTTGAATTGCCTAAACCTTTTACTCCAGGTTCTATTTAAAACAAATTCCTATAAATAGATGTTAGGCCTCATTTAGAAAGTCTGCTCCATAAATTCATCCTATCTAGTTATAAGGAGGATTAGAGCATCTATTGATTGAAATGCTGTAAACAACATTTAGATAGTGTTAAAAAAAAACAAAAATCAAACACACACACACACACACCTCTATACATGGATATATTAAATTTGATTCATAAGTTTGATATATTGACCTTATAATTTATAATTCATATTTCTGATTAAATTTCTTTTTGTGTTGATTAATATGAGCTGTAATAGTATTAGGCTTTATCCTTTGTTAATGGAAAGGACTGCCTACAGTAATCCCCAGAAAGGTTTACCTGTACCAGTTTTCCTTTGATATTCTCCTTGATAATGAGCAACTTCAAAATTAAAATTACCAAAAATATATTCTCTAAAAAAGCTTGAAATTAGAAAATACAAAACATTTAAAATTAATAGGAATTTCACTTACATATTTGCTGACCTTATTTTTTTTTTAGGATAAAATTTATTAAACACTTAGGACCTCCTTAATAATAATAATAAATAGATAAATCCCTACATTATTTTTTTTTTAGTTACAGACAGCTGATACTAAAGAATTGTATCAGATAAAAGAAAACAAGAACTTTCAACAGTAGCAACAGGTGACATGTAACTCAAAGAGAAAATAATGACATAATTAAGATGTTGATATTCCACTACTTCAAATAAAAATTTAGGAAGGAAACTACCATCAATATATGAAAGAGTGATAACAGCTACTTGAAGAAACCCATTTTCTTGAAAAATTGTTTTAAGAAAGACTTTTTAAATTTAAACTGATAACCGTACTGGCTACACAGTCAATGAATGCCAAATATTTCCTTATAAGAAATATTTTAACCCTCAAGATAAGGATCATTTTCTGTTTGGTTCATCATCCAGTGTGTGAATTGATCAAAAGCTGCATTAGTTTGATGGAGAAATTGTTATACTGGGCAACATTTACAACAGCCCCAATCGGCTCTTGAATACTTTGACTTAAGACTGATAATTCTTAACTTATTGCTTTATACAGATGATCCAGTAATTGTTGATCTAATCTATTTCCAAGGTAAAACAATCAGCCAAGGTAATTTTTTCAGTCCCTCTGATATTCAATCTGGACCTTTCTTGTATCTGTCTTGAATGCTCTTGTATAAATATTTCATCATCTTTGAAACTTGAAATGTATTTTTCCCCACAGATCTTAGATCTCAGATGTCCCCAAGACACCAAAGAAAAAGCAAAAGAAAAAACAAAAAAACTTTAGCCAATAAAACTTATTCCCAGAATTAGTAGGTTGTTATGTGAAGTATAAAAAAAAAAAAAAAAAATGAACAGCAACAACTTCACATTAATCATCAGCAACAGAAAAAGCCACAAGCTCATAAATATATCATAAAAATGTAAACATTTAAAATTTTTTACATTCTTTTCCAGAGAGACAAGACTTTAATGAGATTCACTGTCCATTTGTAATCACTACAAAAAATCTTTCAAGTTTATCAGTTTCTATATTAATGAAATACATTTTAGATTTTGTTATGAAAAGCACAAATAAAACCTCTTACCTTTCTTTCTTCATCCCACTCGCCATCATCTTTCTCATCTTTGTCAGTCTTAGCTTCCAGTGAAACTGTTCTTGTCGAGGGCTCCTCCATGTCTTCTTCATCATAATCCAGTTCAACATGTTCCTCAGATAGAGAGGCCTGAGGCAAACTGCCACTGTCTCTTATTTTAACCACTCGCTTTTCTGTTAATCGATGTTCAATTGGGCTAATTTTAACCTTATCCTCAATGACTGTTCGTTCACACTCCACACCAAATTCTGGAGAACTATTCCTGTGACAATCAATAACTTCTCTGATTGGACTTTTACATTCCATTGTCACCTGTGGAGACAAGTGTTTTGATTCTTCTTCAGCTGTCTTTTCCGACATGCTACCTGCATGTTCTTCTACAGGAACATCTATTGCTTCTTTTTCAGCATTAAAATCATTCTCATGTTCGCTATCTGCTTGTTCTTCTTCAAGAACAGATGAAGTGGCTGCAGGAGGACTAGATGCCATCTCTTCAGATGATAAGCCTTTGCTTTCATCCTTCATTTCATCTGATCTGTCTAAAAGATCATTCTCATTTTCATCATCCTCATCGTCTTCATCAATCACACCCTGTTCATTTTCTTTCTCTATAGTTTCATCTTCTACATTATCATCTTCATGAAACTCATTTTTATCATTGTCATTTTTCTCCCCATCATCTGCCTCCTCCTCCTCCTCTGCAATGAATTTGTCTTCTAAATTGTCCTGAGCTACGAGTTCCTCATTCTCTTCATCTGGCTCGTGGGTAGGGATATCTTCATTAGTTTTCTTACCAACCTCTTCTTCATCTTCATCTTCCTCTTCCTCCTCACACTCACTATTGTTGTTGCTGTTGTTACTAACTTGTTCACTTTCATCACTGGAAGCAGCTCTGTCTGAATTAGCTTCATCTTCCCAAGAGTCATTACTGGCAGACGCCTCCATCAGGTACAGTGAATGTCACCACAAGTGTTTGAACTACAACGAGAATCAAGAAATTACCAAGAGTCATTGTATAATTAAGATTCTACAAAAACACTACATCTATAATACTAATATTATTTTAATCCACAACATGTATCCTGAATCAAATCTAGCTACAAGATACAAAAATGTTATGAACGAATGGGAAACTATAGGCAGCAGTAATTACATCAGCTCAAAATATTTATCATAAAAATTACAGAAAATCTTGAATAATCTGAATTTAAAGTACATTAATACAGAACTTATTCAACAGTAACCATGTTTATTATCTATCTATAAAATTCTGTGACTTTCATTAGTTTGTCCATCTAAAATAACCATGCATTGACCAGCTGAAACCAAATTTTGGAGAGAAGTACAAACAGGTAAGGGAGCACAAAGTACAGTTGGTTTTATTAGGGTTTGTAGATTAATACAATTAATTTTCATTAATTATTTTTTTTTTAAAATTAAGTTTTATTGTTTAACTAGAAGCATGGCCCGGCGTTGCCCATACTTGATTCAAAAATTGTACGACTAATACAGCAATCCCTATCACTTGACTTAAAATATTTTTGCCATTCCTTGCCTTTAAAGGAGTGCCCTTTGCCGTGATGATGTTGCTACATGCCTTACTTCTTGCCTATCTCACACTGTAAATATTTTTCCAAGCTCTATACTAAACATTAAATCTGTTACGAAAAAAGAACTAAACAAAATGAACACAAAACGATCAGCTTAAAAAAGCACTCGTAACTGGAAAAACCGAATGAAAAAAGAATGTTAACAACAAATACTTTTCACCCAACCCAGTTTTGTGGAATCAGAATCAACGTTGAGTTTAAACAAGTTTAATGAGCCAATTGGAGTAAAGTGCCATGCAGATTTAAATTTTTCCCACTTTTGACGAATGCAGCTATTGATTTTTTTTGCATGCTAGTTAACATTCGTGTCAGTCAGCTGTTGGCTCTCACGCTGGCCAGTACAAAATGGCCACAAACTACATGAAAATTGCTGTAGAAGCATGAAAAAATTGATTATTTCCACTATCAATGGAAGATGAGAAATGCAAGGTCGGTCTTGGCCTTCCCGCTAACTTGGAGCATAAAATAACGTAAATTTTGGCGCAAATCCGAAAATTGCGGCCGTGCATTCGTTACACACACACACACACACACTGCCTTTTATAGATAGAGATATACAAAATATTTCAAGTCAAATAATTCAAAAAGTTGGAATTTGGTTCCAGAAAGTTTTATGCTGTATGCTCAAGAGTAAGTAATCCTAAGAATTTATTCTATGCTGTTAAAGAAAACTTTCTTTAAAAAGTTATTATCTATTTTGAAGTCCTATAAAATTAAATTTAATTAAGGGAATTATTAAACCGCAAAGTAGGGTTTTTGCTAAAGTATTTTCCCAAACAAATCAGCTTATTCAAATTTGATCGATTGATTTGCAAAATTGAATGAAATGTACAGTTTGTAAATTTTGACAAAAAATGTTAGCAATAACTTCAACAATACTAAATACTGTGAGGATTTCAACATGTTAGTTATTCAAATTCCCCAGTGTTTTTTTGTTTTTTTTGCTGACATTTTTTTCATCTTAATTTCTGATGCTTTTCATCACAACTTCCAGATATTCATTCTACACTATGCTTCATTTAAGAAATTTTAATACTACTATTACTAATGAACATAAATAAAAGATAGCTGCATATTGGTAATCAAGTAGGGAATATAATATAGCTAGTGAAACATAGACAAACACTGCTAGCTGACTTGTAGCAAGGCAGTTACCATAAAAAGGGAGGCCTCCAAGGATGAGGGATATGTGTCTTGCTAGGGACTTATTCTGATTTGGGTCACTAATTTGCAAACAGAATGTCAATGTGGGAATCACAATAAAAAGCAACAGATACCAAGGGAAAAATGTTAACTCAAAAAAATGAATAACAATGTGTTACCTAAGGAGTTCAAAATTCAGGACCACAGAATGGCAGAGTTGTGATATTAATCATAGAGTAAAAAATCCATTATTCTGTACCCTTTTCCAACAGGTTATTATAGACATATTTGTTACTAACTACCAATTTACAACTTATTGTAAAAAGATTTATTTAAACTAAGCTAAATTTAAATAAATCTTTTAAGATTAATAAAATACCCTAACAGTGTTTACACAGTAGCAGATGATATTAGTACATACAAAATAGACATAAAAAGAACTGAATTTATAAAATAACTTAAAACAAATAAGGCATAAGACAACAATTATTGAGTGATAAAAATAATATTCATTGTCAAATGGTAGGTACAAATAATGTTTGATAAAACAAAAAAAGTAAATGAACTCAAGTCTAAAAAAATAGAACACAAAAATACTTTAACTGCGTAATAAAATTGTGTAATTTTAAAAGCATTCTGTATGATTCAATACATGGCAGCACGCAATGATTTGTCTGAACAAATAGTCACATGCTTATTGCAACTCCTGAAATGTGGGACAGTGTAGCAATTTGTACTCAGGAATGAAGGAGGTCATAACAAAAAATTCTTTAAGACTAAGCTTTTACAAGGAGATTTAAAGACTACTTTAAATCTGGTCAGGGAAATTTCAGGGTAAAATTGAAAGTGTTTTCTTTATTTAATCTGATTTTCTAAAGCAAAAAAACACCCTTTTACTCTCCACTACAGTCAATCAATTCCATGATTAACATTAAATGAAATTATAATCTGGAGATTAAGTTCTTTTTTTTTTTTTTTTTAAATATAAAAATATAGAGACAATAGTCTTTTTTTTGTTTTTTTTAAAATAGATTTTTCTTATAATAATAAATTTTTTCCCCCAAAAATCCATTTATAAGATTATAGATGGTCTATAGATACCTACATTTATTTCCATTCCAATATCCATATTATCAAACAACAAATTTCTGAATTTATAAAAATTGTGTATTTGTTACTTGGATTTATAAAAATTTGTATGTGTTACTTGGAATATACAAGTCTCTATGGTTAAAAAAAAGTGTTTAGACATTCATTATGAAAACGTTCATGTTATAGCAGTAATATACCTAACTATATAAATGAGGAAAACTGTATTGAGTGAATTTTGAAAAGTTAATGGTCATTAAAGCATCAATATGGAATCTATTTGACCAGTTTATTTAGTGCAAAAGCCATAAACTAACAGGACTCATAAAAGGAGTCAAGCTTAAAAAGCTAACATACAATAGATTAAAGAAATAAGTGAAAACATAATTATATAGCAAAAATTAAATTACTACCAATTTTATAATGAATCATATGACAGAATCAACAATTTTATAAACCATAAAGTTTAACTGGAATTATCATAAAATGTTACAAAACAAGTTTTTGCACATAGAATATAAACACAATTACAATGCCAAAGTTGGTTGTAAGACTGTGGGTCAAAATGAAGCAGAAATAGAAAATAGTATTACTCATAATAATGTGCTATAAAAATAATTTCAAGCTTATATCTTAAAAAACATTTCAGTAATCATTTGTTCAGTCTACCCAAACATGGGCAACCTTTTTTGGAAAGTGGGCCACATGAGGTGAAGTACACCATGTGTATAAGCATCTGCCTCAGAAATGAAGAAAAGTTGGGTTTTTTCTTTGGAGAAATGATTCATTTTATAAATAAGAAGAAGAAGAAAAAAGAAAAAAAGAAATAAACACCATTTTAATAATGGTTATTTTCCTTAAGAGATTAAGTGTGCCATTAGGAAAGCCAATCAGGCCACAGTTTGCCCATGACTGGTCTAGCCAATAGAAAAAAAAAAAAAATGACAACCATATTTCCCAAAACTTATTTTAGTAATCATTATGATCATGATGGGCATAAGTTGAGTAGTATTTGGCAAACATTGGCTTTATACAAAAGCATGTCAGAATACTTACTATAGAATGATAGCAAGCTACTCTCACAGTGAAGTAATTTCAATCTTTACTGGGTTACCATCACTGTTGAGGCCTTGTGCAAGATTAAGTTTAGTAAATTCCAGCAAAAGCATTTTTTTTTCTTGTGGACTATTTCTACTTTTCATCACAAACTCCAAGAAAAAGAAAATTATAAACTAATATTTGGTTGAAAATATATATCCTCTTCAAAAATACAATATACATAGCTCTTTTGTACAAGAGTTTTCAATTCAGATTAATGGAAATAGTTATCCTTCTCAGCGACACATTCCAGTCTTTTTTGGAGCATTGTTCATTTTGGCGTGCAAATGGATCAATAAAATCAATATGATTCTTACTCTTAACAGTATAAGATTTATCCATATAAAAAAGATGTTTTGATAAGCATTACAAGAGAATTGGTCATCATGCTCCTCAGATAAGGAAACATACAAACATAGTTAATGATTTGGAACGTAATCAAATAGGATCAAAATTCTGTTAACAGTAGGATGTTTGGTTGATTTAAAGATTTAAAAAAATTTAAATGATTAACAGATGATTTTGATACTTACTTAAAACAGCTTATGGATTTATGATCCTTTGTTAGTTTAAGCATTATAACTGAAGATAAAATAATATTGTACAAACACTGACAGGCATTACTTAACTGTAAATGATGAAACTAGAACATTATACTAAATGTGCACTTGTATAAAGCTAATTTCGTCTTCCTTCACCTTTGTGATATACAGAAAAAAAAGGAAGACTGTATTGCACCAATCTTTCAAATAGAGTGGGCCTATTCAAACCAATGTCTTCATGTTGTAATATCCAATTTGTACATGGAAGAGACTAAGTCAGCAAGAGAAAGTAACAAGTTTTAGATAGCTACATTTATTGTGAAAGTAATGGCCAACAAATAACTATCATTAATGAAAAATTAAAGCTTATCCAGTGTCATTTTACAATAAAGTAGAGACTATTAACAATAGCTCACAATTTATTTACCCTTCATTAACTTTTGTCAGTTTCAGGTCACATTTC